GGAGACGCCGACGCCCTGCGCCCGGCCCGGGGCTGAGGAGGGGAGCGCCGCGGGCGCCCTGCACACCGCTTTCCTGACAGAAATGTCCCCCGGCTTCCACGCCGCGAGCCTCGCTCACACTTGTCGCCTCGCGACCCACCCTCAAAAACTACTCGAGCCGGGCCCGGTCGCCCTTCGGCCCGCCCCGGTGGCCCGCCCTCCACAGCCCTGGCCCTCGGCCGCCCGCCAGGTCGAACCCCGAGAGCCACTGCGCCGACTCCCGGAGAAGGCCACAGGGAAGGGGGAACAGCGGGCCTACGAATCCGAGGAGACAGCGGGGATTCTTGCCTGGTGGGAGCCAAGGAGCTTTTCCTCAGAGTCCCGAGAAGCGGCTGGATCGGCCAGAGACACTCCTTTCCAAGGACTCCGGCGTAAACTGGTTTATCGCTAACGCAATCCTCAGCCTCTTGTTTTGCAGAGTTCTCCGCGCACTGCAACTTGACGAGCCGGGCCAGAGGCCACTCCTCCAGCTCTCTGATTGGTTTTGGTGATTATTCAAACCCGGAAAGTCCCCGCCTCCTCGCCTCGGCGGCTTCCGATTGGCCAGTATCTCGCCAGGCCCGTCCCCCCAACCCCAGCCTAGCAGGTTCGGTGGGTCGCCCAGGTCGTTAACTCCCAGACCCGTTAGAACCGGTCAGGAGAGGAATGTACTGCTCGATTCTGATTGGCGGCGGGAAAAGGGTTTGAAAAATGGCGGGCCTGACGCTGACTGGCTAGGGCAGGAGACTGGGGGAGTGGTTGGCCCGAAAGGAAAAACCCCGCCAGATTTAAAAATACGAAGTCGGGAAACTGAGGGTTGTTCTCAGAGGGGTGTGCGGCGGCGGCTCGGTGTACTGGCGCTAAGGTAACGGAAGCAGCCTGCTGTCCTGCTCCTCCCCCGGTCTCTGGTCAGGTCCTGTCCCTCACCCGCGCCAGTCGGAGCCGCAGCGTTGTCTCCTGGGAGCTGTAGTCGCTCCGCCGTGTGGCCCCGCACCTCCCGGGGAATAATAAATGGAGAGAGACTGAGGAGTTTACCCCGTGGGGGGATCGCCCAGCTCCGCCCGTTGTCGCAGAGGCTGGGGTAGAACCCAAGGAAGACGAGACGTGGCGGGGAAGCTGAAAAGGGGCGCGAGAGGGCCGCTCTTCCCGCCTCTCGTGGGCTGTTACAAAGCGATCTTGAAGTAAGGCTACTCCCGCTGGTGGAGTTTTCCTGAAGGACCCCCCCCCCTTCCCCTTTTGTCTCGAGTGTCAAATGCTGAGGTAAACACGGGCGCCCGAGGGGCGGTGGCGGGCGGTGGCTCCCTCTGGCTCCGGCCGGGTTCCGGATTCCAGCTGCCCGGGATGCCAGGCGGGGTTCGCCCTTGGGGACCGCTCCTCAGGCCTCCTCCCTGCCATCCGTCACCTTGACGTTCAGTCTCGTCCCCTTAATTTGATAGTTTAAAATTCTTGTTTCAATATCAAAGATCTCTTTGAGAATCCGATAAAAACATTGGACCTCCCCCCAGACACCGCCCCCCGAAATTGCATATATTCGCCAACTGATGCCCACAACAACGTTTCAGGCTGCTCCAAGCCCATGTTAAGGTCTTCCGTGTTAGCATCTAGTGAGAGCGCACCGGAGCTTTCCTCTAGTTAGAACTTCACTTGACATTTTAGTATGTTATTTCCGTGTCGCATTTAATTCTGAGGGTGTGTGTGTGTGTGTGTGTGTTATTGACCCATATGTTGCACTGATGACCCATATCAGCTCTGGTGGCGCAGTGGTTAAGAGCTCGTCTGCTAACTAAAAAGCTGGCAGTTCGATTCCACCAGCCGCTCCTTCTTGGAAACACTATGGGGCAGTTCTGCCCTGTCCTGTAGGGTCGCTATAAGTCGGAATCGACTCCACGGCAACGGGGTTTTTTTTTTGGCTTTTCTTTGGTTTTTTGTTTTTGTTTTTGGTTGCAGTGAGAGTTGGTTCCAACAGATTTTAAATATTGTCTTATTGTCTCCGTAAATTCACTGGCCTTTGTTAGACTGTGCCCTCCTATTTGTTGTATATGTGGTTATTATGTACGGTGAGTCATCCCGATTCACAGCAACCCTACAGGACAGAGTAGAACTACCCCTAGGGTTTCCTAGGCTGTAATCTTTGCGAAAGGATCCCCGGTGCTGTAGTGGTTAAGCGCTCGGCTGCTGACCGAAAGGTTGGCTGGTGGTTCAAACCCAGGGAGAAAGATGTGGCAGTCTGCTGACTAAAGATTTACAGCCTTGGAAACCTTATAGGGCAGTTCTACTCTACCCTGTAGGGTCGCTTGGAATCATAATCACTGGACAGCAATGGGTTTGAGGAATCTGCAGGAGCAGATCGCCAGGTCTTTTCTCCCGCTGAGATGCTGGAGGGTTCAAACTGCCAACGTTTCTGTTAACAGCCAAGGTCTTAACCATTGTGCCAGCAGGTCTCCTTATATATGGTAATTGTACTTATATAGTAGTATATAAGAACCAACAGCTATTTATCTAAATTTACTAATAAGAACTAGGTTTTAAAAAATGTATTTTCTTGGACTTAAGGGTCCCAGAATTGTATGAATCATAATCCTTGGTTTATAACATTCTTATCTCTGTATAAAGCTTCTATACCTGCAAACCCACAGTTACATTATAAAGTTATGCTATCAAACCCAAACTGAAAAAAAATAATTCATATAACATTACTCAAATAGCAATCACCAGATCACTAATGCATTATACTTTTTAAGTTTATTTAGTTGTGTACTCCTTTTAGAATATGCATATTTTTTTTTAGCTCTGGCAAAAAAATAAGTGGTGCTTATATAAAAAAATTGGGCATTTTATTCAGGAACTGTTTATTGAATATGCAAAGCCTTGAGCTTAGCAGTAGAAATATACAGATGAAAATTCATGGTCTCTGCCCTTGGTAAACTTACAGTCTAGAGACAAAAATAGGAAACTACAGTACAACATAATAATTGTTAAAATTGTGAAATAATGGGAGTATAAGAGAACCATCTCAGACTTTCTGGGGCCGTAGGGAAGGCCTTCTGTGAGAGTAGCATTTCTGTTGAGGTGGGAATGTCAAGCAAAGGGAAAAACAAGGGTAAAGGCAGAAGGGGCTTTGAGAAAGCCTGGATCATTTGGGGGTCAACTGGAAATTCAGGATTACAAGAGCTGAAGGTGTAAGGATGATGCTGGACTGGCAGTCAGCTTACAAAGGAGTTTAGTCTTTATCCTGTAGGCAGAAGAGCCCTGAAAAATTTGGTGGAGACTGAAATAATTTGATTTTCATGTTAGATGACAGTACCTATGATATAGTATAAATGAGGCCAAGGCTAATAAGAAGTCTATTCATTGTGTTCATTCTTTTCTATGGCTCCAAAGTTGTAGACAGAGAGGGAATGGTAATAGATGTGAAAATTTTATATACGTATACCTATACATGTATGTCTGTGTGTGTGTGTATACATATATATATATATATGTATGTATACAGCAAAACCTGTGAGAGCTAGTACTTGATGGGACTGCCTTGTTTTTCCTGGTTTCTCAAGTTTTCTGCCTTTGACATGGTGCAGTCTTAACACTTTTCTATTGCTTGTTTTACTAAAAAATATTTGAGTCTTTCTTCTCTAACAGGTTTCCGCCTTACACAGGTTCCAGCTTTCACAGGTCGCACAATGGTTAAATGCTGGGCTACTAACCAAAAGGTCCGTGGATTCAATCCACCAGTGGCTCTGTGGGAGAAAAGACCTGGTGATCTGCTCCTATAAATAAAACAGCCTAGAAAACCCTATGAAGTAGTTCTGTTCTGTGGGGTCACTATGAGTGGAATCAACTCCACTGCAAACAACAGCATATATATATATGTATATGTGTGTATATATATATATATATACATATATACACACACACACACTAGTTACTGTTGAATTGATTCTGACTCAGAGTGACTCCATGTGTGTCAGAGTAGAACTATGCTCCATAGGGTTTTCAATGGCTGATTTTTTGGAAGTAGGTCTCCAGACCTTTCTTCTGTGCTGCCTCTGGGTGGACTCCAGCCACCAACTTTTCAGTTAACAGCTGAGCATGATAACTGTTTGTACCACCCAGAATATATATATATAATGCACATACATACATATATATATATTCCCTTGCCATTGATAAGGAATTCTTCACAAATAACTAATTTCATGAATGCACAATGTGAATATAGGTGCTTGACTTTCTCTCAATCCTTTCTATGGAAAGTCACTTGTTTCCATGCATAATCTCTTACTACAAGCTAACTACCTTATTAATATTTGCTAAAGTTTTAGTGAAACTTGGGGAATTTTGCATTGTTTGGATAATTTAATAAAATGGTTTCATAAAGGTTTTATATGTGTCACTGTAATGCAAATAATGGATTTATACACATCTCAAATTAGAGCTACTGCCTGAATTCTACATTCTATTTTACACTTCTGTTTGCTAAGAATCATGGTTCTTATATCTTTTTCCTTTCTGTTTTCTTCTATCACCTGCACTAGCAATTGGTTTGATTAGAATTGAGCTATTTTTCAGAAATGTTTTTAATCCCTTCCCAAATATTTATGCCCAGGAGGAAAGGAGAGGCAAAGGACTATAAAGGCAACTTGAGAGTAGATGCTAGGCTGACTAAGTCACTTGCAGAAAAGAAGCAAGATTTGCATTTCTCTTAGCCTGCCTTTGGGTAGTCACAGATAGTAGAAACCACAAATGTTAAATCTGCAAATTCCTAGGGCCTACTATACTTGAATTCTAGAGGAATTCTATTCACACACTTCAGTGTAGAAAGAAGCAAGTCATGACATGAGTCCAAGTACTAGGAGCCATACATTGTCAACTCTATTGATTGTGAGTAAACTAATTCTGAATATTACTCCAAACTATAATCATCTGCTGTTGCATAATGGTGTCAGGATGTCCTGAGATCAGTCATTTAAAGTGACATTTCTGCAGTGGTAGTGCTGTTGTTCTTGTTAGGTGCCATTAAGTCGATTTCAACTCATAGCAACCCCATATGACAGAGTAGAACGGCCCCATAGTGTTTTCTAGGCCGTAATCTTATGGGAGCAGATCGCCAAGTCTCCCTCAGAGCCACTGGGTCGGCTCAGACCTTTCAGTTAGCAGCCAAGTACTTAACCACTGCTTCACAAGGGCTCCTTAGTGGTATTGCTAAGGCGGGGAATTCCAAATTCCTTTCTTTATAATGGCAGAGAAAAGGGAAACAAATTTCTTTGTTTAAACAATCTCCTTTTTATCATTGCTGCCAAGACTTCACTTTCATGCCAGTACTTCCTGACCTAGAATTGCCATTGAGAAGTATCAGTCAAGTGAGAAATGAAATAAGGTTTAAGTAAGATCTGTACAGTAGTTGGTTATAAAACAACCCCTTTTTTGTAAAATCTAGATACAGAATCTAGTAGCACAAA